GGGTTGAGGATTTGGGGTTGAGGGTTTAGGGTTGAGGGTTTAGAGGTTTGGGGTATAGCAGCCCTAAGCGCTGACAAAAGGGTAGTTCTCCAAATTAGGGTCCCTGTTAGGAGTTCTTCTTATAAGGGTGCGTACTATTTTGGGACCTAACAAGGGACCCTAACTTAGACAACTATTCATATGAGGCGCTAGTATCATCACCTTCCGAAATCCCTTAGTTCAGGAAGATACCTTAACGTCATATTCACGATCCTACTACAAACTAAGGTACAGTCTCAAATTAAGGGATATAAGAAGGTCTGGGCACTGGGACCTTCAAGGCTGTTCTTAGAGATGTACCATTGCACTGAGGATTGGTCCGAAGCAGAAGAGCGGTGGCGGGTGCCTCCAACTTGCACTGTTGCGGGTTAGGGTTTGGTTGCATGGCCTCTAATCCGCACACCATGATGGCCGGCAAATCCGAATTCCTGGACCCCTGAAAAGCCTTGCAAAAATTCACGAATGTAGAAGTGTCACTCAAGGTTTTCATAAGTGTTCTGCAAGGGTCCCTCAGGGTTTGCATGCTGGGTCTACAAAGGGCCCTAACCCTAAACCCTAAACCCTAACCCTAAACCCTGACCCTAAAAGGGCTTCAACAGGGGAGTTTTCTTGTCCAGACTTCGGAAAGTTACCCTTCAGGACCATGGGGCCTAGGAAGTAAGGTTATAAGAACCTTAACTGGAGTTATAAAGGCTTAGGGCTCAGGGTTTAAGATTATAAATGTTTTAACTTTAGTTACTAAGTCCCATGATCCTCAAGGTAGTACATCTGCTCATTATGGTCCAGTATGGTTACTTTGCGGCTTTGGGGCGCTTCTTCGTTTTTGTTTATATGCTTTGGTTATGGTTTCTCTGCAGAACTCCAAAACATGTGTTTACTTCTGTTTACTGCTTACCGGCCTACCAATCAAACCCCTAAATCCCTAAACCCTGAACCCCTAAACAAATCCCTAAATCCCTAAACCCTAAACCCCTGAACAAATCCCTAAATCCCTAAACTGTACCTTTTAACGGGTTACGTAGAGTTGAAGATTTACGATTCCTGAAGTCGTGCTCAGGGCAGTGGTTCTGGCAGGGGTCCTAAGAAAGGGGCATGACTGGTTTGAAATCAAAACAAAACGTACTGTTGATGATCTAAATCCTGATGATGTAAATCCTGCATGACCCAGAAGAAGGAATATACCATACTTCCCATAGTCTAAGCTCCTGAAGTTGATGCAGGGTTTTATATCATCAACAG